TAGTAGAGAGTAATTGGGCACCCATTTTACCAGATTGGACATTGACAAGCTTTCGAATGTTGATATTACTCACAGTGATCGGTTTGTGGATTCGCCCTGGCGCTTGACCCTACATATTTCATGAACACAAAAGGGTCATTAACAGTTCAATCCGTTCTTTAATTCACATATTCCTCTTTAGGCTTTATTCCTATCTCATTAACTCATTTGTAACGCTTAACACATGCCTAAGAGTGATTACAAGTTAAAGAGAACGGAAAACGAAACATAGAACGCATGAACAAAATTCCAGAAATCTGGGTCCCCGCTCGAGCGTGTACTTACCCGCTCGAGCGGACCCTTAAGGCCTGCAAAAGTACTGGTTGCCTGAAAAATGTGCTCGAGCGTGTAATAGAGCGCTTGAGCTGAAGGCCTGTCTACAAAACTCCACGCTCGAGCGTGAGGTTTCCCGCTCGAGCGGACATCCAACTCTGCAAAAGTGCTGGGAGCACGATTTTCCCGCTCGAGCGGCCATTACCCCGCTCGAGCGGACATCAAAATTCTGGGTTTCCCAGATTGTGTTCTTGAGCTCCAAATCGGTTTTCCAGCTACATTACTTGCATGCAATGGCTCAAATTACACATTTACACATGCTAACATGCTACTAATACAAGATTACAACATCAGGAAGCTCAATTTCATGATTTATCTACATGCATGTCCCAAAATATCTCAAACCCATCATCAACATGCACAAATTCAAACATCCAAGACTTATACTCCCATGATTTGTACATGCATGTGGGAGATGCTCATCATTCTCAACTTAGATGGTACAAATGGTGATTACAACATGAGCTTTAACCAAAACTCTACATGAATCATGTGTTTCAAGCTCAAATATGCAGATTCAAAGTAACTCCTTACATGCATGAGTTCTAAGACTTCAAACTCAACAAAAAAAATCAACTCATTACATGCTCTTGATCATAACAACCCTTGAACTTACAAGGTCACAGTTTCAAACTTATGAATTCAAGACCAAAAGCTTACCTAGAGGCTCAATCTTCCAAACTATGGCAATTTCTTGAGTTTAATCTTCCAATTCTTCACAATTTTGAGCCAAACACCCAATTCTCCTCCTTTCCCTCTCTCTAGCCGACTCCCCTCTCTCTTTCTTGCGTTTAATTCAGCCAAGGAGGATAATAAAGAGGGTATTTGAGTGTATAGAGCCTCACTAAGTCATAATATAATAATATAGAATAATTGGGTACTCATTTTACCAACTTAATCAACTTAATCTGGTCCAAATCAATTTTTCAATTAAATTTCACCGTAGGCTCTAAAAATTATGCCAATCACAATGGCGTAATCAACTTCAGGTTCTGTGGCCGATAAGGCCTCCAATTTAATTTCCGAAGCGGTAAAATCAAACAGATATTCCTACGGTGAACAGATAGAAATTCAAAACCACATATTTTCACATAATGGCATGCAAAACCATGCTAAATACACAACCATAAACAACTTAAGGACCAATTAGCATAATACAGACCAGGGATGTCACAATTTGAATGGCATGCAAGGGATGGACTTAAACATGACTTAAGCAGCCCTAACTAGGCCCAAAACAGTGGCCAAAGTGCCCAAAAATGAAGGACTAATGGCATGCAAACATGCATGTATACAAGGACCAACACTTAGGCATAAAGAGACAATTCTCAAGCACACTTAGGAGGAAGATAAACATGGGCATATGGCATACATACCAAGCTCTGAAAATCATGTTAAGGATGGTGCTAAACCAACTAAACAAAGCAATCAAAACATGCAACAATGGTCCA